TGTTGGGGGCTTCACCCTGGGCAGAGCAACTCGATGGGGAAACACGTAAGGCACATTTGAGCCCCCCTCAGCTGAGCTGAGCATTCATTAGCTGAGGTTCTTGCCCAATGTATTTATTATGTGTGCCATGTAAGATTTATGAAGTCCTCCCATATTTATTCGCTTGCTTTGATGTGTTTCAGTTTTGTAAATGATGTGCTGGTTCCCCACATTACTGTTGTTAGCAATCTGAACTGTTCCTTTTCAGTGTTTTCTTGTTTTGGGAATGGATACAAATGCCAAACTCAATTTACAGAGCAACAAATCAATAATTCAAAATAAAACACAAATTCAGTACCTGAGATTCCTTTTCATTTAATAGTTTAAAATAAGATTTTTTCCTGCTTACTATAAAATAATGATCCAAAAGCATCTTTCTCTCAATTATTTAACTTCCATTATGTTTTTAGTGCTCATCAAAGCAGCCCATTGACGGTATTAATGATTATAGTTTTCTAGCCATTGCACATCAAGAATTCCATAGTTTTAATGCTAATTGGGAATGGGCAAACTGTTTAGAGTAGAGTATACTCAATAATCACGTGCTTAACTTTTGAGAATGTGTGTTCCCATTTACTTTAATAGGATTACTCACATTCTTAAAGTTTACTAATGTGCTTAATGCTTTGCTAGATGGGGTGGGGCTTCAGTGTGTATCTGATGATATAAAGTATGCGTATATACTGCATAGCTAAGTTAGCCCAACATGCCTTCATTCTCAAAATGTTGGCAAAAAGTGTTTAAAAATCATATCAAATTACGTGTTCAATACAAAACTGGGACCCAAGTCTTTTGGTGCCACTGTCAGTACCTCCAACTCTAATCAGTGAGCCTGGTTAGCCTATCTGAAAAACAGGGCTAATATTTCTTGCACTTACATATCTGAAGGGAATTTACAAAGGTAGGAAAAAAATATTTCCATTTGGCAGTTGGCCTAACTAAGAACTCAACCTTGAAAATTCTTAAGCACATTAACAACTTTAACAAATAATTTTGAAAAACAAATACATTTGAAAAAAACAAAACCAAGTGACTGACCATCCATGAACAAAGGGGCAACATTTGTTGAATAAATATTCCCTATAAATTATTTACCCAGCTCTGTTTAAGAGCAAATGTTCAGAGCAGGATATAGAGTTTTAGCATCAACCGCGAAGGTAAAAACCTATGCAACACTTTATAAAGCAGCATCCCTTAATGTAGTATTTCTTTAACACCTCGTTCTGTCTCTTCTGGAAGATGTGAATGAAAACTGATGTTTGATGGAATATATTTCTTCTCTTCGAATGAAATCTGTCCCTTTGCAGAGGGTCAGTACAAGGGCTATTCTGAAGGCTTAAGTGAGATTTAAATGGTGCATAGGTTTTGTGTTAGCCGTCTGCATGAAGATGAATTTTGCCCTTACTGAATTTTTTTCACTTAGATCTCAGCAGAGGAGGAGTTATCTAATAAATAGTGACTCTTCAGTCAGTTCTTTGGCTTCTGCTGAATTCTAAGTGTGAAGAAGTCCAAAGAATTCCGGCAAGAAAGAGCAATTAACAGGTTGCCTTATAAGCATGTTAAAAATATTCATCCAAAATGTACTATTGAAAGAAAAAAAAAACCTATGGGAGGAGACTATCCTGTCCTGTCATTGTGAAAGGGAACTCTGGATAGCACTTTGCAAATGAAGTGGGGGATGGTTTGGTGAAATTTGAGAAATCGTATCTTAATGCAATTGTAATTCAGAGGAATTGTACTTATTATTCCATGTGACATTTACTTTTGCCCCTTATAACTGTTTTTTCCCTTTTCAGTCTGTTATTGAAAACAGTAAATTCTTTGAGCAGTATGAAGTTACATACCAGATCTTGAAAAGGGCAGCTGAGATGTATGCCAAAGCTAATGGCTCAGGTAAATACCTCTGTATCTGTTGCAATTCTGAAGGCATTTTAGTCCTGTTGATTTTAATATCCTTCTTAAATTAGTTCCTCAGAGTATATTTAGAAGCCAATTCCTTCTGTGCAATACAGTTGTACTGTACCTGTAATTAACCACGTGGGATCTGACAAGAGTAGAATCCAGTGGATTTCTGCCAGTGTGTGTTGACTGTGTGATTATTAGAATATGCTACTTGAACATGAGGAAATCTAAGTGTTAATTGTAAAAGGTCTTCCACTTTTGACTTGTAGAAAAGTACTCCTGGTTGTAAGTGAAGAAGATTTTGATTCACAAAGTGTGAAATTCATTCCGGTGCAGAGGGCTAGCACAATGCCCATACACCAAATAAGTCTCACATACTTTGTACTGGCCCCCTGCACTGTGGTGAATTTCACCCACTTTGAATAACTTGGAGGAAATATGAAATGATAACATCTAAGAACTGAGTAACAGAGGTCATCTGTGCTTTTGGGGGGGTGGATTGTAAAAAAGCAACAGTCTCCTCTCGAAGTATCTGGAATGGGGATTTAATGATAGTCACAGTCATAATAATAATGATGCAATTTGTGCCATTTTGAACAGCCTTGTGTTGGGGCACTTCAGAGCAACAGCTATCCAGGGGGAAGTTGTAGAGGGATTGTTAGCCCTCGCTGAACTCCCCACTACACAGGGGGAAGCTGCACCATTCTGTTATCTCCAGGCTCAAGGAGTGGTCTTTTATTCCTGGTGTGCAAGCCATGGAAGGATCTTTTGTATTATTATGCCTCTGCACCCACATGCAAAGCAGTCTCATCCAGTATCATTATTAGTAGAGATAGTATTCACTGAAGTACCTTTCACAAGCTTCACAGAATTACAAAGAATGATCAAAATGATAGGTGCAGTATACGATGACCTATGGATGGATCGGCTATTCTCTGTTCCACCTATACAACCCCATTGGGTTCAGTGAGGTTGCATGGATGGCTCTGGAAGCATCTGGTGGGGACTACTTTAAACACTGTCAAATAATAGTGCAGCAATCTCTGGGGGAGATGCTGCAGTTGTTAAGATGGCTTATGGACAGGGAGTGAAAAGGAATATCTTACCCATTTAAAGTGACACTATCAGCTCAAATTTGTTCCAAAATTTAGATTTTTGTAAAAATACACTTTACAAAATTTAAGAGCAATAGAAATTATTTCATGATTTTTTAAAAAAATCCAGCAATAAGTCATTTTCCAACAAATAAATATTCACCTGAGTTATTGGTAACATCAATAGTGCAAACTAAGGACACCTAAGCTATGAATTCATTTCTTAAAGGATCCTGCATTGTGGATGCATTGTCTATTTTCCTTAAAAAGAGGGAATCAAATGCACCTGTATGGCCCAGAAATCAAGTACACCACAGACAGAAAATTCAAAAAGTAAATGACAAAAATCCAGTGTCATTAATCTGGATTTACACAATTGTAAATTAGAATAGATTTTCACTGAATATTTTTAATGCAAATTCATCATTGAAGCAGCCACACACGTAGTTTTCTATTTCTCTTTCCTTGTTACATTTAACTCATCGTATATTACCTTTTTGTTATTAGATGCATACACCAATAATATGCAGGATATGCACCATAACTGAGTTAATGTGACATTCTTTGTATACTTTATTTTTTACAACGTATGCTTAATTTCTCAACGTTAATGTTGCAGATGACATAGAGCTTCGGGGGGAGGGGTTGCCAATACTTTGGAGGATAAAGCTAAAATTCAGAGGGATCTTGATAACATGGAGAAATGGGCTATAGATAACAAAATGAAATTCAACAAAGACAACAAAGAAAAACTAAATGCATAAGTACTGAAAGGGGGAAAACTGACTTGGCAGCAGCACTGCTGAGAAGGATCTGGGAGTTGTGGTGGATCATAACCGCAACATGAATCAGCAAATAAGATGGTGTTTGAAAAAAAAACAAATGTAATTTTACGTTGCATTAACAGAGGCATAGCATGCAAGTCCACAGGAGATGATAGTACTGCTCTCCTTGGCACTGGTTAGGCCTCAGCTGGAGTACTGTGTCCAATTTTGGTCACCACTGTCTAGAAAGGATGTAGAGAAACTGTCTAGGAAGGATCCAGAGGCAAGTGACAAAGATGCTCAAAGGGATGGAATACAAGCCATGTGAGCAAAGGCTGAAGGAACTAGGTATGTTTAGTTTAGAAAAGAAGAGATTAAGGGTGTGGGGGGGACATGATAGCACTCATTAGGTACTTGAAAGGTTGCTGGGACATGATAGCACTCATTAGGTACTTGAAAGGTTGCTACAAAAAAGATGAAGAAAAATTATTCTCTCTTGCCACAGAGGGCAGGACAAGAGGCAATGGGTTCAAACTGCAGCATAGCAGATTTCAATTAAACCTCAGGAAAAACTTCCTTACTGTAGGAACAGTAGGACAATGGAACAGACCCCTCAGTAGGTTGTGGAAGCTCCTTCACTGGAGGTTTTTCTAAAGGAGGCTGGAGAGCCATCTGTCTTGGATGGTTTAAACACAACAAATCCTGCATTTTGGCAGGAAGTTAAACTAGATGACCTTGCAGTCTCTTCTAATCCTGTGGTTTTATGATTCTGTGATTAGGTTGTGCATTTAATATATGTTTAAACAAACCTACTGATGCTGAAAAGAATATAAAATATAATTACTTAACAAGAATAGTAAAAGAGATTTAATAATATTTTTAATAAAAGAAATACATGCTAAATACTTGGATAAATACTTCCAGCAGCTCCAAGACTTTTAAGTTGTGTTTAAAAATTCAATATGCTTTCTATGTCGTAGTGGAGGAAGCAGAGAATGTGATGAAATTCATGAATGAAACAACAGCCCAGTGGAGGAACCTGTCGGTAGAGGTGAGAAGTGTGAGGAGCATGTTAGAAGAAGTGATTGCTAACTGGGACCGATATAGCAGCACTGTGGCCAGTCTGCAGGCCTGGCTGGAGGATGCTGAAAAAATGTTGAATCAGCCTGAACATGCCAAAAAGGTAAGGAATATTAGCTACTTCATCCAACACCTGTATATGGCTTTTATGACTGTTCAGTAAAAGTTTTACAACCTACACAAAACAAGTTTAAAAAAGTATATATCAGTGACCAGTTAGGGGCTGTTTGCAGAAGACTGGGGAGAAGCCCTAGATGATGAGAGTTGTGGCAGGTTGAGATTTATGCATGGAATAATTCCTGCTCTACTCTCTTCACTATCAGAAACCTTCACAGATGCATAGTATACTTTTTATCTGAGCATATTTGCCTCAGGTTTGTGTGTGTGCGCATGTGGGCACTCATGTGTGCATGTATAAATTTGGAAAGACAGCGAGCACATATAGGATGGTATAGCATAAAGGCTTTATTTTCATGAATTTAGGGTGGCCGCTTTGTTCACAAATGAGAAAGTCAAGAATGTGTTGTTATGCAGCTCACTCAAAACAAGTGCCATTATATCATACTGCATCATTATGTGTTCTGTATATGCCACATATTTTGTAGTAAAACTGGTTTAATCACTTCTTTCTTTGCAACAATTTAGGAGTTAAAGTGAGCTGTTTATACAAGCATTTATGTGCAGTAAATATTATGCTTTTACCTTTTTGTTTACCACTCAGGTGACTTCTCTGAATTACCACTCTGTCTACAGCCAGTTTATCTACGTATATTTGTAGTTATGTTTGCCCAGCAAATTAAAAAATAAGGATGTTTTTAAACTATTTTAGAAATTATTTAAATAGGTCTAAAATTTGTTCCAACTATTGTGTGCATTTATATAGTTCACCATAAGCCTGTCTGCTTTGGTATCATGAGTTGTGCTCTGACCTCAGAGGGGGTGAAAAATTATGACAAATACATTTTAGAAACTTCTTTAAATGACCTAAGATAGTTTTTCACCCATAAGGATAACACTACTATTTTAATGGCACAATTTTAATATCTGTGGTCTTCAGCACTATCAATGATAAATATCTCCTATTTAAAAAGATATCAGACTTTAATCCTGACACCAGCTGAGGACAGAATATTGCACATTGTGGGTCACAAGCCAGTTTAAATTTTTTTTTAAAAAAAAATTCAGTACTTTGAATTGGGGGGAAAGAAAGGAGCGTTTCTTATGTTTAAACAAAAATTGTGCCTGTAAAAGTTGTCTCAGTAGTTTGGCATTTTATAAATTGTCCTGGCAACGGTAGATTAATGGGCAAGTGAGATGGTCAGACACATGATAAATGCACATGGGTGTCAGAGGCTTATATGTGTGGTTTATGTTCATGTGTATAAAATGAAATATTGATATATTCTTTGTATATGAACATTTAAGTCAACATCTATGTGCCGAGTCTGTTCTACAGTTTCATCTTAAAGCAGATTTTAAACACAAAATGTGAACTGTGAATAGTGCCACACGTGCTCCTGATATCCATGTGATGAATTGCATTCATGATGCAACTTTGACCATCCCATCTGCACTCTGTCCATCTGCTAATCTGTCTCCACTGGGACTCTTTGACTACTAGGGTTGCCAATTTTAGTTGGATGAATTCCTGGAGTTTTCATCACATGATATAATATTTAATTAAAGATTAATCTTTATTTCCTGGAGACTCCAGGGCAATCCTGGAGAGTTGGCAATCCTATTCCAAATCTCTCAGCAGCTTCAAATAGCCAGTTTAAATAAGTAAGTAAGTAAGTAAATAAATAAATAAATAAATACAGCACTCTGACATAGGAATATTACTTCCTTTCCCCCAAAATGTGCAGTTTCTCCCTCATATTACACTGGCTCAAGGATCAGAAGTGTCCCCAATTATCAGAAGGTAACAGAATTTGCTTCTGGTCCTAGGTGTTTTCAAGATGCTGTACTAGACCTTAAGAGTGACATCATCATGTATGGCAAATCTATTTTAGGTCATTTAAGAGGCTTTTATAATTTATCAGTTATAACTTTCACTCTCACTAAAGTTTGTACAATTCAATTAATGTTAACAAAGGCATCCTGGCTTCAAGTTGGATAGAGGTAATTAAATAGCATCAGTAACACAAAGTAAAACTTACTGAAATATTTCCAAAATATTTGTTTTGTAATGTATGTATAACATACAAAATCCCTGATGCTGTGGCGTGATATAAGGGCTTTATGGCACTCACCTGGAATGACCTACATAACTCACTCTTAAGTTCACCATGCATGAGAATTATGGTGCATCCCAAATGTAGGCCATAAAACCTTCATACCACACCATAATGTTTCAACTCTCCTTTAGCTCCCTGTCTGATTACAAGTTCTATATTTGCATCATTGTTGTGTTTGCAATGCTAAAATGTAAAGTTCTTCCCTGTTTCCCTTGGTAACCCCTAGTTTAAGGGATTCTACCATGAACTCATTAACCTAAACAATTTTGAAACTTGCCAGAAATAATCGTCCTGGACTCTCATATTCCTCGCACAAATAATTGAAATATAACAGAACAAATTCATCGCCGAACAAATCCATCTTTTCTGTAACTCCATCAACTGCCAGGAACTTCAACTAAAGATAAATTTGGCCTAGTAATTTCAAAGTTGCACAAGGAGGCTATTTACTGGGAAATATCTGTGATGCCCCTGCACCATGCCATCAGGAGGAGCAGGGTTTGTCACCTGCTGAGAACTGCCTTCCAACCTAGTGGATTCCTGAGGACCTGCAGATGGCCTCAGCCATTCACAGGGAAACCCCACACCTTTTCAACCTCAGCAGTCCCTCTCAGACCCCTCCCAGCACAGCTCCATTGGAGCCATGCTTCCAGGGCCTCTCCCCTTGCACCTTCATTCAAGGCCCCAGGTATTGTGGGGGGGGAATCAAAAAATAGTATAGGCTGGGACCGTATTCATTTTTTAAAGTCTTCCTTGGGTCAGGGACAATGTGCCCCCCCACCCCCACAGCCCGCCCTGACTCTGCTTCCTCCTTCATGCTGACTGGGGTCTATGCAGAGGAACTTCCGCAGGGTCTGGGGTGGGAAATGGTGCCTCAGAGGTATCCAAGCCATGCTTCCCAGTGTTGGAGAGGAGATTTACACCTGGAATGAAGAAGGTCTACCTCTGCAGGGTAATTCATTCTTCCATCTCATTTCTTCTTTGACCTCTTTGCTAAGTCTGCCAACAAGAGAACTGGTCAGTGCCTATTCTGAAGGAGTTATTTTGTTGTGAACAGTAGGAACAGGACTGCTGGTTTTGTTTTCCTTCTAGCGGGCCTGGCATGTGTACAGCAGTTTAAAAAAAGACAAGGAAGTGTTTATATAATATATCTGGGATGCTGTTGGGTATTTCTTGACAAATCAGTATTGTTATCTTGGGCACCAGGGGAATGCACCACTATTCTCAAACTAAAAGAAGATGGAAGATAACACCCAGTCTACTCGGAGACGATGAAGCTTATTCACTGATATGTCTATGTACATAGTACAAGTGCTCTTTACCCATCTCTTCTTTAGGGATTTAAATAACATTGTGTTCAATTATCTGTCCAACTCATTTAAGCAATATGCCTCCATTTGACATTTTCTTTGTAGCTATATGGGAGGTGTTTTAAATATGGATAAGTTATGACATCTGCATCAACTATTGTGTTGTCACAAGACTTTCTGAAACCTTGAGATTGTGCTTTTTGGTACAGCCCTGAGCAAGAGGCAAAGAGCCTGGAGCAGCGCTGGGAAGAATTGTACTTCAGACAGCCATTTGAAGCACAGTTCCTCCCTGGTTCCTCCTTCCTCCTGGGGCAGAGGAAAAAGGAAGGTGGGAAGTCATTTGTTGGGGACCTCTCATGGCAGAAAATTAACACAGACACACACATATCTCACGCCTCTCTCTCTCTCTCACACACACATATCTCTCTCTCACACTCCCCCCCTGCACAGGCTCAGCTGTGCAGCCTAGAATACTGGAGTGGGGACAGAACCAAGGCTCCATCCATTCTCCTCTCCCTCCCCACTCACCCGCTCTGAGGTGGGAGTAAGCAGCCATGAAGCATTTGTTTTCCCCTCTGCTCTGAGGCCCACAATTACCTGCCTTGAGTTTACAAGGGGGATTCTTACTAATGTGCTGGCATGTAGTCCAAGTTGCAATACAGCCCATAGTGAATTAGTAGTTAATTGATTTCAAATGAACAAAAGTAATCCTCAAGTGTATATAAATTAAACAGAAATTAGATGAAACAGTGGCAGTATTATAAATTAAGACTCAAATCCTTTTATCTTACTCAGGAGAGTAGTCCCATTGACCTCAGTAGTTCTACCTACTTGATTAGAATTGAGAAGGTACTGATTGTTTATATCTATATTATAGATACAGCTATATAATATAGAGTCCCCTCCATTAACGCAGCAGGTTATCTTGATAGCTCTTTTTAAAAATATTATTTTGGAACATAAGAATTTACTAGAGTACCCAATGTGGGATGCTTCAGAGGATAATGTGCCTTGTAGGGAAAAGGTTTATCCATATCCTTTGTTGGTGATGAGGTTTAAATTGTTATTGTGTAACATACTGACTTTTGCAAAATGTTTAGCAATGCTGCTTATATTGTGTTTAGGATTTTTTCCGACATTTACCTCATTGGATCCAGCAGCACACAGCCATGAATGATGCTGGTAACTTCCTTATTGAAACTTGTGATGAGACCATTTCCAGAGATCTTAAACAACAGCTGCTGCTACTAAATGGAAGATGGAGAGAGTTGTTTATGAAAGTTAAGCAAGTATGTGTTGTTACGGTTGTTGTATTTAAGTAATTATTTTACCATTGCAATGCAGCAAGGCTGCCTAAGGTTTGTACCACTAAAGCCTGCGTGGACAATTTACCAGGACTCCAAGGACCATGTCTAATGTAAATGTATATAATATGTAAATCATGAAGCAATACATACCACCAGAATAGTTGGTTGCATTTGTACCTTTTTAGAAAGATGGGTAGAGATGGTTTGTTCAAGTTCATCAGCAAACATACTTTGCAACTTATCTCTGTAATATTTGACCATGACTTTTTAAAAAAATGCACATTCTCTATAGTTGAGAAATTAAAATGATTTTCAAAAAATAGCCATTGTTTATGTGGAATCTATAGAGCCAAATTTAGCCACAGTGTAAGGGGATACATCGAATGCTTTTTAATGGGAGTTGCACCTACTTATCAGAGGGCTAAAGCCAGTCAACAGCAGAGGCAGCACACGTTAATCAGCCAATCCCATTCCCAAGGCTGTGCTGACATCATTGTTGCCTTGTGCTCTACCAGGCACAGAGAGCAAAAAACTTCGCTTCAGGAAAGAGACTCACCGGGCTGGAAAAGAAATGTTATTTTAAGAGGTTATTCAAAACGACATGAGGGAAGATGTGAGATATGACTTGTACCAAAGTATTTGACAGCCTTATATACACATTTAAAAATATCTGCATTGAAGTAGTCATATGGCTAATGAAATTTTTTATTTAATTACTTTTGACTACTCACCTGAGGCCAAATCCTGTTCTCCTTACTCTCATGAGTATTCCCATTGCTGTCAATGAATCACATTAGTAAAGTGGTCAGCATTTGGCTCTTATTTTTTTAAACCTTTCAAACTGTTGCTTGTAGCATAGTCACAGCTTTATTATTTGCTAGTGATGGGCAGAGTAGTTTACTTGGCAAATCCTGATCCCCAGAGTTTGAATGCTCCCCTGCACATTTTGAGACTGTCTCCTCACTCCTATTCCCCATGACCTTCTAAAAATTCTCCCACTCAATTCTTTCCAGTCTATTTTGTGCCCTCTAACAGTTCCTCAGTTCTTCCTTCACCCCAGCCCTCAACTAATTCCCTGACTTCTCTCTCTATCTCCTCTGTCCTCCCAGCCTTCCCCAATTTTGTTTGGCTGCCTCTCTTCCTGCTGAGCTGCAGATGCTGATGCATTCATATTTCCTGATGTTAATAGCTTCACAGTCAAATGCTGTCAACAATGCAGAGAATGTGAATGGACTGGCACCAGGACCTTAGTGGAGAGGCTGCCATATTTGCTGTATCATTAAACCAGATCCCGAAAGACACTGTTAGAGGGTTGCAGTGACTGAGAATACTAGGAGACTATTGGCATTTTACTCACTGAATTGATAAACTAGCAAATCCAAGTTTGAGAGAAAGTAGATGCTCAGGTGGAATGTGTCCCTGTCTAGGGCCAAAATTGAGAAAAGGGTAAACTATGAAGCCTCAAAAGAAAGGCTACTGGTAGTTCAGGAGAAGTGAGTTGGGGAGTTAGGTCCACTTCAGAAACCTGAGAGAGAAAGGAGTTCTTGAAGTGATCCAAACTTTAAAATATGTTTGGGTTTTCTTTCATGGATGGAATTGAAGTGAGGGCCATTTGCGGGATTGGAAACAAGTTTTCCCATTTCTAAAAAAGAACTATGTGCTTCATTAATCAATATTAAAATTTAAAAAAACAAGCAACCAACGACTTGCTGGACCCTTAGCTTAAAAGATCACTAGCAAATCACACTGAATAAAAAGAAAAGAAAAGTTTAACAGTTACTCCCAAGAACCTATTAGTTTCCTTAAGTAGCAGCATTGCATATTTTGACATGTTCTCTGTGTTTTTATTTTCCATTTTTCATAGTATGCTCGCGTAGATGAATTTGACAGAATGAGGAAGGAATACTTGGATGGTGTTGCCACCTTGTCTACCTTTGCTGATTGCACTAATGGAAAATTTTCTGTTCCTGTTGAAGTGTCCTTTCTAAATGTCAAGATGTTTGTCCAAGGTTTGGAGGTGAGTTTCTTCCTTTCATCTGTCTGTCTCTCTCGCTCTCTTTCTCTCTTTTTTCTTCACAGAAGGGAGAAATATTTAACTATTTAATTTTATGAAAGGATCAGAAGATTATTTATTTACATAGCCATATCAATATGTTTATACTACAGTGGTGTATTTTGTGTTTTAGGTAATCTAAATGATTGCATTCTATGAGTGACGTTTCTGGAACACATTTCCAATGCAACAAGCAGGGGTGTCACTAGATTTTCAGCTGAATGCTGAACTTTAATACAGAGCGTTGGAGATGAACTCCTTTGCTTAGTATATATCAAATACATTCTGGACCTGGTCCAACACTCGTTGAAGTCAATGGAAAAAATCCCATTGATGTCAATGGGAGTTAGATCTATCGCCTACAGCTATGGTGAGAACAAGCTGATGTGCCACATGAATTCATAAACCTGTTAAAATATTTGTTGCAGGATATTAAACAGAAGGTGCCTGTGATGGAAGCTCAGTACAAGACAATTACAAGGACAGCACAGCTTATTACAAAGGAAATTCCCCAAGAAGAAGTCAATGAAATGCTTGCAACGATGACAGGGATCAAAGGACAGCTAAGCAAGGTCTTGGAATATCTTTTCTGCTGTGCAGTATGTTTACTGTTGGACTAATAATTAAAGATGGGTCCAAACAGGAACCATTTAGCCCAGTGCCACACCAACCCCAAGCTCAGGGGACTCAGTAAAATGGGACCCATATCTGAACCAGGCTTAGAATTGGTTGCTTATGATTTGTTTCACATAATGGGTTTTTATAAAAACTAAACTACCAAAACTACACTCTGGTTTTGACCCCTCTTTATTTCTAATGGACACGAGCTAAAACCTAAACTATTTATGTTAAACATCTCTTCTATCCCTCCAGACCTTAGGGGGTTAGATAAAATGGGACCCATATCTGAGTCCCCCCAGGTTTGAGTTTTGCTTTTTTCATCATTAAAACCACCCCAGTTTTGTCCATCTGATTCTGTACTAAAGTGACATTTATGAGCATTCTTTGAAAGATATGCTTTCATATTGGAAATTTACTTAAAAAGAAAACTTGTTATGTTAGATTGTGCATATTTTCAAAAGTAGCTGGGTGGCATTTGTTTGGTTTTTTTTTTTTTTTTGGTATAACTGAAGTATTAGAGCTAATGCATAAACTTGGAAAAAATCATTGAAGTTATATATATTATAATGTTTCAGGTGTATGCATTTAGACTGAGTGCTAGCTCCCAAAAGTTATGCATGTCAGTACATATATACAATAGACCAGTGCACACTTTTCATATGCAAGTTTCTCTCCACACCAAATGCTCTGCATTAATCAGACCTGTCCTTACAGTCAGAGAGTGTTGTGTGCAGCCTCTTCCTGAAGTCATTAACACTCCTCCTGAGTTGAATAGATGGTTTTATTATATATGAGCTACTCTTTTTACCCTTATCATCTCATGGAGCTTATGCCTGAACATGGAACCTTAGCTTGTGTCACCACTGTTGCACTACTTTAAACTGCCAGGCTGTCCCCAAAAGCACACCCATACTTCTATAGTGAGAAGGTGAGTGTTTTTGTCCAACTGAAACTGGCCGAGAGCCCAACCCTGATTGCTCTACTGCTGGGAAATACAGAGAAATATGTAGGTGTAAAAATCCAAACAAAACACACACACATACACCACCCCTTTGTCAATATTGTCTTCTTAACAAATACAGTAGTTCAAACTCACCTCAATAAAGGGGATGGAGTAGTGAAAGACAGAAGCTGAGTGGGAAGTAGTGATGGAGAACTGAAGAGGTACAGTGGGAAGAGACAGATGATCTTGCAAATCATATATATGCGACACTCCTGTGTAAGGGATGCAGGATTGGGCCAGAGACAATGTAGAGAATGAGAGAAAGAGAAGCAAAAGAAATGGAAAAAGGAAGGGGTATGTAGAAAAAGTGAGAGTGGAAGGATGGGATGGAAGAGAGAAGGAGGGAGGTGGAAGGGGAGAAAGAGAAATGCAGGAGAGAGACCATGAAGCAGAAGATAGCAAATAATGTAAGGGAGAATAAAAGAAGAGATCTCCCACACAAAAGTTTAAATGATATCTAGTGCACATATATTAAAATAACTATGGGTGGAATATATTAGCAAGAAGATATTACCAGATCCTGAAGTACTTGATATTAATGGCAATTTTTGCTTAAATAAGAACTAAATATCAGGTCCATTTACCTTTAAAAGAAGGAGGGGGCTTATGTAAAGCAATGTACATGGAAAGGTTATTTATTGTTTATTGAATTTCAGTAACTTTCTGTTGTAATGAGATTTTTTTCTTTATGTTGCCAAAAGACTAAGGAGCGTTGCCCTGTCCTGCTCTATGAAGCTCAGCAGCTGCTGTCTCCTCTGGAAGAATTAGAAAAGCAAATTACATATTTTTATGAGTCTCTTGAGAAAGTCAATGAAATAATTTCTGCCTTAGATCCTGAAGCGCAACCTGCAGCTGTTTTTAAACAAAACCACCAGGTAAGTTTAAAAAAAACCCAAAACACCCAAAACCCTATCTAGAAAATATAAGAGACTCCGTGTGAGCATTTATGCAACATATTAGATTGTTAGGACTCTGGATTGCAGCAGTGAGAATTGAGGAGCAGTTCTTAATTGAGGGGCAATTTCTTAATCTTCATTTAATAATAGTTAAACACTTTTTCTTTGGGATACAGATGCCAGCTCTACAATTCACCGCTGCCCACCAACTTTCCCACAAACTCACATTAACTAAAAGTGCATTTTTCTTCATATGGGCCCTGTTTCATCTTTCTCTGAAATCAGTGGGAGACTTTCCTTTGATTTCAATGGAAACTAAATCAGGCCCCTATACAATTGCACACAGCATCAGTGAACATTGGGATTTCCTTGAGAATGCTTAGGAACTCCCATTGATTTTCATGGACACTGGTGGGCTTCCCATGTGTTGGACAGGAGTTTTCTTTGAAGTCATTGGGGGTGGGGAGATATGATGTAATGAGGCCTTAAATTTCCACCTGTCCTGCAGTAAGAAGGTGACTTTTTTGCAGGAACTCACTGTTAGACAATGGAAGGACATATTGAATCCAGAAGAAAATATCTTAGATTGGCTTCTTGCATCTGTAATGTAAGGCTGGAATGTTAAAGGGCTGTTTAGAGTCAAATACAGGGAGATAATATTGTTAGCAAAATAATGGACTTAGTACAGTATATGAAAGAACAGTTAGAAATTATTTTATAATTGCAATGACTATGGAGATGTGAGCCACACTTCAGTCAGGAAGGGTCCGCGCCCCACCAGTGACTTGAAGCTTACGTCTTTGTTTTTGGAAGAAAAATAATATTGGGCTGCTGAGCTTGACTGTGCATGTGAGCCAGTCCAGCCTTTATCTAAACTCCCTCACTTTCCTGAACAAATCCTGTCCTGTCTGAGCATAGACACTGAATGAAACAGGTGTCAGAGCTGCAGAATGAGAAGAATGCATCATCATGAAGTCTCCAGCTTTTAGATTACCATAGCCCAGACATCATAATTTAAGTAAATGGCTTATTTCTGCTAAAAGGATTTACCACCCATGGAACTGAGATCCGTGACAGTCTGACAGATTATACAGAGGCTCCTGATTTCTGCTGAGTAGATCATGGAATAGATAGTTCATTAAACAGTAAAGGGCCACACTTGTGCTTTCCTCTCATGAGAATTAATGAGGTTTTTCTTCTTATTTGTGTAGTTGTAGTTACTGATTCTCTTGTCTAATGATTTGTTGTGGTCATTTAAATTCCAGTAACGGGATTGGTAGATGGCACGGACCTTATGTGTAAGCATTTTAGCAAGCTACGGAGAGTTGTCACTCTTTTATCTACTCACTGAATGAATGAACATCCGTTTTGCAATTAATACTATGGTTACAGATATTAATAATACCCAAATCAAGAATAAATGACAGAATCACACAGCCAGAAAAGACCCTTGCATTTTGTAAAACTACCCATATGGATCCTATCCTACAAGCTGTTCTATAGGACTGAATTCCTGTGGATGGGGCTGAGCACCCCTGGAAAAAGTTTGCCGGATTTATATTATTCTCTCTAATGTCTTGTTTAAACTGTTCTTGGTGGAACCTGACCACTTCCATTTTCTTATTGTCACAAATGCCCCCCTAGGTTGTTTTTTGTTGTTGCCTCTCTTTGTTTCTGGCCGGAATAGAATTGTGTTTCTTTCTTTCTTTCAGGATTTGGTAGCATACCAAGAAAACTGCAAGAAAGCTTTGTCCCTGATTGAGAGAAACAGTCAGGACATTCTGAAGTTTGTGGCTTCGAGTAAGGTGTTACAACATTTCGATCCATTAATGCTTCAGAAGAAGGTCACAGAGATCCAGGTCACTTTTCAGGTAGTTATGTTGCTTCTCAGTACATTTTTGAGACTCTCTTAGGGTACGTCTACACAGCAAAGAAAAACCTGCGGCTGGACTGTGCCAGCTGACTCAAACTCATGGAGCTCGGGCTGCAGGGATGTTTCATTGCTGTGTAGGCATCTGGGCTTGGGCTGGAATGCGAGCTCTGGAACCCTCCAACCGCACAGGATCCTAGAGCCCGGGCTCCAGCCCGAGCCCAGATGCCTACATAGCAGTGAAACATCCCTGCAGCCTGAACCCTGTGAGCCCGGGTCAGCTGACGTGGGCCAGCCACAGGGGTCTAGTTGCTGTGGAGACGTACCCGTAGTATGCACTTGTTTTTCCTGTGTTCTCTTCGCTTTCTGTCAGTCTTCAGCTGTTGCCACAGGGAGCACAAAGAAGTTTCCTTTGTTTTTCTCCTCTCCTGACACCCACATACTCTTTAAATCAAACACAGGGCTTATTTGTATTAGAAAACTTGCACTAATGTAACTAAATTACTTTAAAATCTAATATACTTTTAATACTTCAATACTATATACTTATACACAGCCAGAGGTGTTCATTCTCATTGAAATCTTTCCCTTACTCCAATCTGTACCAACAGTGCCATAATACAGTGGGATAATTCCCCTTTTTTAGAATTTGAAGTTGCAGCAGAAATAAAGACTAGGTCAGTGGGAGGGGAGGAGATACTTCACAGAGCTCTGTGAAATGAGACTCAGGTTTTCATGTGTCATGTGCTCAGGGAGCTTGGGGTCTGCTTTTCCGTGTAATGACCTACAGGTCAGAATCCTCTGCACCCCTCTGATAACCTGAGATCAACAGAGAAATCCCACAGATTTCAGGCCATCTGTTTATGGGGTTAGAAGATCCCCACAGAGGGACTGCCTTTCTGTGTTACTGCCGAGACCTCTCTACCAGCACCTGTTATCACAGCTCTCATTGGAAACCATCTGTTCATGCACCCCACTCCACTCCAAGAATGGAGCATGGTGATTTTTTAAAAACTCAGTCTTGCTGGGTTTGTATTTCCACTGGAAATAAATCACAGTTACAGTGAGAGGCAAATGCTGAAAGTTACAAACATTTGGTTTATATAGTACTCCACATTTAGTGCCCAAATCTGTCTCACTTACTCACTTGAAGTAGTATTTTACTCTGTGAATAGTTTCATGGATACTTTCTGGATTATTTGAGTAATCAAGTACTTATACAACTTTAGTAAGTGTAACAAAATCTGGCACATAATTATCCAGTACTCTTTTAGGGTCACATTTTCCAAATGTTGGTTTCAATGACACTCCTTTTAGAGTAATGTACTATTCAATATAAGGGTGGCATAATTGGACTCTTAATTACTCTATGAAATGTAGTGTCTTGAATTTTAAGCTAAAGTGCTGATTGTCTAAATCAAGGGTTCTCAAACTGGGGCTCGGGACCCCTGAGGGGGTTGCGAGGTTATTACATGGGGGATTGCAAGCTGTCAGCCTCCACCCCAAACTCCACTTCACCTCCAGCATTTATAATGGTGTTAAATATTTTAAAAAGTGGTTTTAATTTATAAGGGGGGTCACACTCAGAGGCTTACTATGTGAAAAGGGTCAGCAGTACAAAAGTTGGAGAACCACTGGTCTAAATGCTATCATTGAGCATTTCTGAACATCTGGATTCTCAGTGAAGATCTGTAGATGTCATTTTTCCTTGGGTTATGCTTATGGGTTACAAAGGCAGGTTCAGTTGATGGAGCTTGATAAGTTGCTCATGTAATACATTATTCCCATCTTATAAGAGTGGGTAGTTAGTTTTATTTCAGTTTACATTTGAAGTAGACTTAACTCATGGGGCAGAGCCAGCCTTAGTGTATTTGTGGACCTGGGGATTATTATTTCTCAATGAATGGAACCAGTTCTTATACGAACATACTACTGTGCACAGAGTCAGCCTGGGAATTTTGGGGAGATTGAAAAAGATGATTATTTGAGGCAGCCCAAAAGAACAGTCCAGTTTTAGGGCATTCGTGTAGGATTTGGGAGACCCAGGTTCAAGACTCTGTTCCACCAGAGACTTCCGGTGGGACCTTAAGCAAGTCACTTAGCCTCTTGTACCTCAGTTCCACATCTACAAAACAGGCATAATACTACTTCCCTACCTCACAGGGGTGTTGTGAAGATAAATACGTTAAAGAGGATGAGGCACTTTGAAATCTGTTGATGAAAAGAGTTATGTAGGAGTTAGGTATTGTAATTAACTGACATATTTTCTGTAACAGAGGTTTTCAAACTGTGGTGCGTGGAGGAATGTTCATGGGGTGAGCATAATGCAAAAGGCATTTTTTTTACTTTTTAAAAATTAGTATTACTAAGGCCTTACTTAATTCATAATATTGCGAAAATTGAAGATCCCTCAATGTTAGGCTTCCACCACAATTTTGTCAGCCAGGCAGCTGGCAGCGGGAGCCCTGGCCTCCAGTCACCCGGGGCCAACAGTGGGAACCCTGGCCACGAGCCACCCAGGACTAAGGCTCCCGTTGTCAGCCCCATGCATGGCAGAGCTCCGCTGTCAGCCACCCGGCTGACAAATTTGCAGTGGAGTCCTAATATATTGGGATCTGCAATTTCCGCAATATCACAAATTAAGTATGACCTTAAGTAGGAGTAAACATTTTGCAGCTCATTTAATCATATGGACTTTTTTGGTGATGGCTGGTGATGCAGTACACGGGAAAGAGTTGCCATGTATTTAATTATAAGCCAACGATCATTTCTATAGCAATAATTACCTTTCCCAGTTCAGTATGTCGTATCATTTGTCATTTCAGCAAGCAGTGTTGTTGTGCTTATTCCGCTGGTGAAAAATGGATTGGTAGTTATTGCCAAAAGATGGTAATGTTCCAAAACGAAAGGCAGAAGCTGAAATGGCTAAAGTTGTTACAGACAAAAAATCTGCAAAAACAAGAAAATATGATGAAGCATATTTGAATTTTGGTTTCACTTCCATTGCAGTTAGCGGAGAAATCAGGCCTCAATGCATAGTGTGTGCAGTAACTTTAGCAAATGATAGCCTGACGCCAACAAAATTAAGACGCCATTTGGAAACAAAACATGGCGATGTGGTAGGAAAGAACAGAGATTTTTTTCGAATGAAAGTTACAAGAAATTAACAAACAAAAAACCACAGTGAAAAATGTGGTATCCACCCCTGCAAGTGATTTAAAAGCATCGTATCCAGTTGAATACCACATTGCCAAGAATAAAAAGCCTTACACAATTAGGGAAAAACGGATTCTCCCAGCAGCAATTGACATTGGCAGGACAAGGCTTGGTGACAGTGTGGCAGAAAAGTTAAAAATGATCCTGCTGTCAGACAACACAGTCAGCTGCCAAATCTTTGACATGTCAGAAAACATCAGGGCACAGCTGATCTCTCGATTGCAAGCCAGTTTATTTGTAATCCAGTTGGATGAAGCAATGGATATATCGAAAGCTCATTTAATTGCTTACGTTTGGTACGCTCATGAAACATCAATATTGGAAGATTTTTTTTGTTCTGCAAGCCAATTAAGATTCATGCAACTGGATCTGAACTGTTTAACATTTTAAACCACTTTCTAACATCTCACAAGTTGAAGTGGGAAGCCTGCATCAAAATCTGCATGGATGGAGCCCCTTCTGTGTCTGGAGGTAGGGCAGGCTTGGCAATTGTTTGAAATTGCGCTACATATATTGTGGACTCATTGTGTGATACACTGCAAAGCCCTTGCAACTCGAAACATGGATCACATACTTACAGTTCTGCTCTAAAAATAGTGAACTTTATCAAGATGCAACCCACAAAGGCACTTTTCTCTTTGAAATGCTTTTTGCAGAAATGGGAGCAGAGCATGATGCTTTGTTATTTCACATGAAGTCAGTTGGCTATCCAGTGGGAAAGTGTTGCAACGCGTTTATGAACTGAGAAATGAAATTTGATTTTTTTGTGGTGGATATGAATTTCACCAATGCCGAGACACCTTGTGATCCCTAGTGGCTTGTGCTTTTGGCTTACCTTGCTGATATTTTTGACAAAATGAATTATTTTTGCATTGTTCTTTTGCAAGGAGCAGAAAGTACTATTTTTGACCTGCACAACAAGATATCGGCATTCAAGAGAAAACTAGATCTCTGGAAAACAAAAATCAAAACTGGTTTAAGCATTCCATTCCCGTTGTTAACTGATGTTATCGATGAAACAGAATCTGAACTATTCAGTGTTGTGGAGCCAATTGAGAATCACTTGACTTCTCTCAGAGCCAGTTTGGGTAAATATTTTCCCGGAGGAAATACACCCCTGAATGACTGGATTATCCAGCTTTTTGTAGCTGAGGCAGTGACTTTGTCCCATCTCTCAAATGACATTCAGGACAAGCTGATTGAACTTTAGAGTGATAGCACAGTGGACATTCAATTTTAAAAAAAGTCTTCGGGGGATTTTTGGTTGAAAGTTGGCTCATAATATCCTGCTTTGTCAAAGTGTATGATCAAAGCTCTTTCACTGTTTGGTTCATCTTATTTGTGTGGGATCAGATTCTCTGTGTTGGCTGTGCTAAAGACAAAGAACCATCTCAGACTGGAAGTGGAGGACAACCTCACAATTTCAGTTTAAAAAAACTCCTCACAAATTGATAAACTGTCCACAGAGAAATAGGCACACCCTTCACATTAAAGTATCGGTGTATTTGTAATTTAATTAAAGTTGTGTTAAGATCTAAGTTAGGTTTCTGAGTAAGCTATCAAGCATACTTTTGTATGTGTCTATTTTTGTCTGGGTTGGGGGAGTACACAACCAAAAATTGTAACTCAAAGCCGGGGGGGGTCTCAGCTCCAAAAGTTTGAAAACCACTGTTCTTTAAAGTGTCTATGGTGAGCAGGTGTTGTTGCCATTGTTGGTATCCTCAGGCTTCTTGCTTCAAGAGAAGTGCTGCTAGGTAAGCTATAGAAAAGTTGTTTTGAGTGTCGGTTTTCTGTAGGGGTTTAGAGCTCCCAGCTGGTTTTTATGCATCTTGGTGAATAAGAGAACTTATGTATTTGAACTCTAGAAACATTAGCTAATGCAAACGTAAGATATCCTCCATTCTCTTCTTCCCATCAGTAAGTATTGTTCTTCTCATTTTGCAGATTAGGAAGCCAAAGCAAAAAAGTTAAGTGATCTGACAAAGACCACAGAAGGAGCGAGTGTTAGAGTTGGGATTAAACCATAAGAGGGACTGCCTGTTACAGTTCTGGGCAGTATTCATAGTGCTCAGATGCAGGCAGCTAGGTGGAAATAAGAGTTTTGCCAAACTCCACATCTGGCAGTTGGTTTAGGCCCCTCAAAAATCAAGAGACCTGTAGTTGTGGGGTTCATGGGTCTCAAAGGCCAAACCAGGGTGTCTCTGATGAGAAGGGACCATGAATAACTTGTGATCTTTTGGAAAAATCCCAGTGACAAACTTCCTACCATACCAGCCAGTTTACATTTTAAGACTTGCTTCGCATAAAAAAAGTCTAGTCACAATGATAGGTTGTATGAAAATCCCCCAGATTCATTAAATTAGATAAATTTATTTTATTTTAATGGGAGAATGAGATTAACATGGTCATTTATAGGTATCAGAGGAGAAGCTGTGAACTTCACAAGCCCAAAGGGCAGCTCCAGCAGGAAGCATTTTAATGAGGGACTGTGGATAGTATAGTCAATAAAGATCATCATTCAGAAAATAATCTGGGGAAAAAATACAAGCTCATTTTTTCTTCACTTGTAACTTAGGATATGGTCAAGAAGACTGGTGACTGGAGAAGAAATGTAGAAGCAAATAGCCGTTTGATGAAAAAGTTTGAGGAGTCCAGGGCAGAACTAGAGACAGTACTACAGATTGCCCATGGTTGCCTTGAAGAAAAAGGAAATCCTGAAGAACTTCTCAGGAAACATACTGTGAGTAGATTCTCTGACCTTCACTGCAGTCCCTATGTAGGCTTTAACAATGGACATATGTTACACTAGTACAAAGTCTATTTAATCTTATAAATGACATGGAATTCGATATTCGAATGATACTGTTCAGGAGGACTTGGTGGCAAGTAAAAATATAGAAGTTCTTATTAAGTAAATGAGCTAACTGGTAATATTACTACTTTTATTGTTCTTTTAAAATACTGTGCAGAATCCTATGTGTATAAGCTACCAACTCTGTGCAGTTGCTGAAATGTACAAGAATTAGTTGATTCTCTACCTTAGAAATTATTCAGGAATATCTCCTGCTAACTCTTCCAACTTCCTGCTAAATAGTGTACCATTTCTTAACTTGAATTCAGTCTTTTTAATGCAGCTACCTTCCAAGCTTGCAGAGAGCTTGTATGTGGTAGTATAAAATATGTCATTCTGAACTTCATCCTTGCTGCTTTCCATATCAATAACATTAAGCAACTTAACCTTCTAACTTTACTTTCAACATCAGGAGTTTTTCAGCCAGTTGGACCAAAGAGTGCTTAATGCCTTCCTGAAAGCTTGTGATGAACTTACTGACATCCTTCCTGAGCAAGAACAACACAGCCTGCAGGAAGCTGTTCGGAAACTCCATAAGCAGTGGAAGGTTAGTATTTAAATTAGAACTCTGGAATTGTAAACTGAATGGCTCCAGAGACCCAACTGCCCAAGCAATATGTTGTGCATGGAAACTGGGGACATCTTGTCCCTCTTCTTCCTCTTTCCGAATAAGTGAAAAAGACACATTGACTGTAAAAATAAATACAATTACACAAAACTATGTTAAAAGAATATTATTACAGTTGCGAAGTCGAGCACTCAAAAGTAATGAAAATGCCAGAATTAAGCTTCCCTATGGAAGTTTAATTTGGTCCCCCTGTGCATATGCATTATGATACAGTCATTAATTACATGGTCACAGACTACTTTTTCCACAGGATGCCTGTGTCATTCAGATCACAGGATGGACAGTGTTCACTTAAATAGCAGCTGTTCAATATTTTCTTTTTCCCTCATTGTTTAGTGTGTGGCTCTAGGCCTTAGTTATTGTATTATTCAGACCCAGACAGAATTAATTTCTTCATGGGCATTCTTGTGTCACTCATCACTCTAGTATCTGAGTGCTTCACGGACATTAATGAGTTAATCTTCACAGTACCTCTGTGAGGTGAGGGGCATTATCCCCATTAGAGAAATGGGGAACTGAGGCACAAAAGGATTAGGTCAAACATATTGCTCAATTTGAAACACCTAGGACTTGATTTTTCAGAGTATTTAGTAGTATATTGCTTTATATATTTGAACCCAGTTCCTATTGTCTTCATTTGCACCTGTGAGTGCTCAGCACTTCTGCAAATCAAACCCCACGATCACAAGTTGGGCACCCAGAGAATGAGGAACAGACAGCTAGTGACCACCTGTGAAGAATTTAGTGTAGGTGAGTTGCCCACCATCACACAGAAACTTGGTGGCCAGTTTTCCAGGGCAACATTCAACTGTCTAAATCATGAGACCCAGCTTTCTCTTCCTGCAATCCTCTGCCTTATTCACTACACACCTTCTAATTTCTGAAACAAATGAGATAGGGGTCCTACAGATGTCAACCTCCTTTGCAATGCAACCCTGATTTATCCCCCAGAGCAGGTCCATCCTCTGCACTGAATGATTCAGGCATCATGTGGAAAAAATAGTCTTTGATCATGTATTTAAGGACTGTAGCATAATGCATATTTAATTCTGGCACTTTCTACTTTTGAGAACTTGACTTTGTTCTTTTAATGTAGATTTTTGTGTGTAATTTCCTAGTTTTTTTTAAAAAAAGCAAACTGAAAAAAAATTAATTTGGTCATCTGGCATCATGTTGACACCCACATGTATCATCAGCAGAGTTGGAACCTTTAGAGCCCACCACACAATCCTCTGCTACTTGAGCTAATGAAGTAATTGATAGCAATAGTAGGTTATTATCCTCTATCTGGACCAGCACAACAGGGGGAAGAGACACACATTTTGTCAGAGCGTTTTACAGATATTTCGTGACAGAAGAGACATGGTGAGACCCAGGATTCTTGGGCTCCATTTCAAGTTCAAGAGGGATGTGTGATTTTGTGGATAGAGACTCTTCTGCCTGTTTCCTCCCTAACTTGACCCCTTCTGTCCAACCTCTTCTTGTCCCAGTCCTGTCTCTTTTCTACCCCGGCTCCTCATCACAGTCTCATTCTCCTCAGCTACCCAGTCTCCACTCCTCAGGTTTCTAATCTCAGTCCCAGTCTTCATTCCCACCCAGTTGTAGTCTACCCCACTGGATTACCAGTCCCAGTCTCCCTCCCGCCATGTCCATGATTGGTCTCCTTGCCCTGTCATTTCCAGGTCTCTCCCCAGGTTTTTAGTGCCAGTTTCCTTACCTAGCCAGTACCAGTTTCCTCCTCTCGGCTCCTCACTGAAGTAGTCCTCTTCCCCCAGCCTCCAGTCACCGCATGCCCACATTCCCCCTCGCTATTGGCTCCTAGTCTCAGTCTCCCTCCCTTCCTGAGCTCCAAACTCAGTGTCTCCCCACCAGCCATCTCCTTGTCCCAGTTCTCCCCAGACATCCTAGCTTCTTGTCCGATACATCTCCCCTCCACCCAACCTTCTTTCCACTGCCCAGCCAGTCCCAGTCTCTCCCCAGGGTCCTCATCTAATCTCAGTCTTTTCACTCCTTGTATTTGCTCCCAGTCTCACATCCCGCGCTTCCAGTCTCCTTGCCGAACCTGTTCCAATTCTCATTTTAATGCCCAGACTCTGTTTTTTCCCTAGTCTCATTCTTGGAAATGGCTGAATTGTTTTGGCTGAATTTAAAAAAGAAAAGCAAAAAACAACAGCCTGAGACAGACATCTCACATGGAAAATTTCAGCCAGAACGGTTGCAGTTTGGAAAAGTTGCAAGCAGCTGAAAACTGAGTTTTATAATGGGAAGTGTCGAGCAATGAGAGGTGGTGCTCGCACTGCTACTCGTGCTGCCTGCAATGTCACCTAACCTTTTCATGCTTTACACTGAAGCAGAGCTGACTGTAGTTACCCTAGTAACACTAATAAAACAGACTTTTAATAGATTAGGCTTTCAGTTTAAACAGTGCTTATTGCCAAAGACTAAAGTGACTGAGCAAAGACTGATAATAAGTCATGGAACAATTTCATTATTCAATACTTCATGAGCCAAGTTTTCAAATAGTCCTCTAAGACTATGCCTACAGAATGTTCAGGTTGAACATCTGGGGAAGCACAAAGCTCTCCACTTAAGTCCATCTTGCATACATCATTGGGGTAGTTAAATATCTAGAGGGAGGTTTTCAAAAGCACTCAGAATTGGCTGAATTCTCTGGGAATTTTACCATTGACTGCAATGCAAGCAAAATCAGGCCAACACTGGCCATTTTGGAAAAATCCTACCCCTAATAAGTCACATTTTGTGTGCACCTGTTGCTTTTCATGAACACAAAAGCTGGTGCCCTTGGGGGGTTGTTGCTAATGTAGCCACACTATTATTATCTTTGTTATTTATTTTTATTGAGGTAGCACCTAGAAGCCCCAGTCATAGATCAGAATCTCACTGTGCTAGGTACTGTACACACTATTGTGAAAGAAGGTACCTGTCCAAAAGAGCTTGTGATCTAAGTATATAACTAATAATTCTGTCTAATAGATTTATTTTATTTCCCTTCATACATGAATGCTGAAAAACATCTGTTCTCTGTGTTATAGCATGTATGTGATTTCTGTTACACTTTAAAAATTGTTCTGTAATTCTCATTTAGTAGCCTTACATTGGATGAATGAGAATCATGCTTTCTTTCTGTGTTTGTTTTTTTTTCCCTATGGAGTATAGGATCTCCAGGCAGAAGCCCCATATCATTTGGTCCATCTGAAGATTGAAGTGGAGAAAAGCAAACTCCTAGGCACAGTGGAAGAGTGTAGATCTGAACTTGCTAGAGAGAACAAGCTGGTATCCAGCAAGGGCAGTGAAAAGATCGTCAAAGAGCACAAGGTATGCACCATGTGCCACCAAGTGGACATGTGTGTAAATGCATTCAAACACAAAGGATATAAAAACCAAGGTCTCATTGACCACAATCAAGTTACTCCAGATTCACACCAGTGCAACTGTACTGATTTCAGCTAAGTGAAACTGGTGTAATACGGCAGTAAATTGGACCCCTGGATGGAGGTTCTATAAGTTCTCTGAACAACTTTTAAGTGTACTAAGATTTGAAATCTTAAAGGAAAGGTGAATTTGATTTACTTTTGTACTGATATGCAAAAGCTGGGAGCCTACTTAGTTTTATATAAAAAAAATGTGATTTGTGGCTTTGTCAGTTTGTATTATTGTTGCTTTTTTCCCCTTTTCAGTTTTTCTTCAGTGATAAGGGACCCTATCAGTTGTGTGAGAAAAGGCTGCAGCTGATTGAAGAACTGTGTCTAAAACTCCCAGAATGGGATCAATTTAAGACTACATCGGAAAGCATCCAAGAAACCCTCAAGGAACTTAAATCCCAGATTGATAGCACCTATGTGAAGCTAAAAGAGAACCCTGACAAATGGAAGGAGTACAAGAATAGGTACTAGTTCTGTTGTTAGCTGGGTATGACAGAGCCTTGGTCAGAACAATTAGCATATGTGCTCTTCTTTAAAACTTCCAGCTGTAGAAAAATACAATTCAAGGAATAGTAAATGCTTTTTTTGTTCACAAACAGAAAACTCTATTTTATATAGTAGGTCCAAAATAATC